GGCGCCAGGTTTACCATCAGGACAGACCATGCTGCATTATGTTGGTTAAGATCATTAAAGAACCAAGAGTGACAACTGGCACGTTGGATCGGAAAAATAGACCAGTATAATTATGATATTGAATACAGAGAAGGAAAATCTCATGGAAATGCCGACGGGCTGAGCCAAAGACCCTGCAAAAATGACTGCAGACATTGCTGCAAAAGAGAGGTTGAACTACCCAGGTGCCATCAAGCTCAAGTCAAAGTGACTGAAGGAGTTGATGATGGTGAAGTGTAACCAAGTATAGATATTAAAGCAGAACAGGAGAAAGACCAAGACTTGAAGCCAATAATTGATTTTCTACAAGCAAGTGTTTTGTGCCCTGCTTGGGAGAAGGTGTCTAGTCTAAGCCCTGTGACAAAGAACTATTGGGCACAATGGGACCAGTTGAAGCGTGAAGATGGAATTCTTCTCCGGAGATGGGAAAGTGACGACCTGGCAAACAGTTATACAGAGAAAATTACGGGAAGTTGTGCTGCGTCAATTCCACGAGAGTTTAACAGGAAGACATCTCGGAGTTAAGAAGACATTGAATAACCTACGACAGAGATTTTCCTGGATAGGTATGAGGCAAAATGTGGAAGAATTGTGCAGGACATGCAGTACATGTTGTGCTAAAAGGGGACCCAAGCATAAGGTACGTGCTCCAATGAAGTTATATCATGTTGGCGCACCAATGGAAAGAGTGGCCGTTGACATTGCTGGTCCTTTGCTTCAAACTCGTGCTGGAAACAGGTACATTTGTGTGGTGATGGATTATTTCACCAAGTGGCCTGAGGCATATGCAATACCAAATCAGAAAGCTACAACTATAGCTTCGGCTATTAGTGATTTCTTCTTCAGATTTGGTATGCCATACGAACTGCATTCTGATCAAGGCCGTAACTTTGAATCAGCTGTGTTCCATGAATGTTGCAAATTGTTTGGCATCCGAAAGACCAGGACAACGCCACTTCACCCACAGTCTAATGGGATGGTAGAAAAGTACAATTGGACACTGGGACAGGAATTGGCAAAGTTTTGTAATAGCCGCCAAAATGGCTGGGATGTCTTACTCCCTCCACTGTTGATGGCGTTTAGAACAGCAGAGCATGAAGCCACTGGATACATTCCAGCAAAGCTGATGTATGTTCGGGAACTTCGGTTGCCAGTGGACATGATAACAGGACGCCCACCTTACAAAGAGTTGCCTGAAAATGTGCCAGAGTTCGTGAAAGTGTTATCAGAAAGGATGGGTGATATTCATCATCAAATGCGCTCAAAGTTGAAAACATCTGCTGATTCCATGAAGCTATGTTATGATAAGAGATCTTCTAAAGTCAGCTTTGTACCAGGAGACAAGGTGTGGTTGTATAATCCCAGGAAGACCAAAGGGAAGTCTCCTAAGTTGTCTTCTCCATGGGAAGGCCCATATGACATA